TTCAGCTGGTTCCTTCAAGTAATACAGAAGTAGTACCTCCTCAGGGAGACTGCATGCAGCTAGCACATTGGAAATCTCTTTTCTCCCTCTAGAGGACCATACATTATCCTACCCCTAGAAGCGTCATGGTAGGAGGAATCAGCCATCTAGGTAAAATAAAGGACAGCCACATGAAGAGCCAAGGGGCTGCACCTCTGTTCTGTGTAGAGCCAGGGAGCAGAGGTTCCAGGTTGTGGGGGGCGCACAGGGTCTGTCACACCCCGCTTCTGCAGCCACAGGCCCTGTGTAAACAGCTGATTGTGGGCATGGCTATGTTCCAATATAACTTTATTGGTAAGAACAGATGGGGGCCATGCTTTGCAGCTGCTATGCTAGATGGATTAGAAGCATAGACTTAATGCAGCAGGGATCCAGAGGTGCTGGGGACACGGGGTGTGACGAAGCAGGGCTACCTGTTCTGCAGGGTCCTGAGCTACGTGTGAACAGGCCGGTCGGCACACCTCTCTGGCTATACTCAGACGCACTTCTTAAAAACGGAAGTAACTCCTCTCTCCAGGAAGTGGAAGGCTAAAATGAAATCCAGTTCTTAACTCTGCTTGGCACCACCCCCTCACACAGCAGGCCCCTGACAGCGCTCTCTCCCCTCTGCCCCACTTGATCTTTACTAGGAAATCACTCTACAGCCCCTTTCCAGGTCAGCAGTGCCTTGAGACACGAGGCGGACCCCGGCGCTGGCTATGCCTCTCACTAACCCTTGCTGAGCCCTGCTGCCCACGTCTACCTGTGAGGGTGAGCGGAATCAGCACTCGCTCAGTGCCTGGAACATCCCAGATGCTCAACTATCGCTGGGCACCCTGATGACTAGGCTCTTAGTGTTGCGCTCCACCCCCTGTCACCACACACCTGCTGTATGCTCAGCGCAGGGCATGCAGGGGACCTGCTCCTAGGGGCTCGAGCTTTAGGGACGAGGGGTCTTAACTGCGTGAACACATAACAGCACACTGACACCTCTGAAGGGTGAGGTGTGGCGGGCGGCATGGGAATCAAAGGAAGGGCGCGGGAAGAGGAGGTCCTGTCTCAGACACGGCCGAGCCCTGGAGGCAAGGAGGGCTGGGAGGCTGGGACAAGGGCTTGGGCATTTAGGCTCCTTCCCTGCTCCGAGAGGCTGGGAGGTTGCTCATGTGGGAGCCAGCGAGTGACCAGGACACTGACTGTGCTCGAGTCCAGCTTCTCTGCTGCTCTCGGATCTTGGCACAGGTGGGTGGAGGACGGCGCCATCTCCAGCCACTTGCCATTCCAGTCATGTCTGGGCTCCCGGCTCGGAGGTGAAAGGTACCGACGCTAACCACAGCCCATCAGTCCTCCCCAGCTGGAATAAGACAACACGAGGCAGCAGAGCCGCACTCCCGGCCAAATAAAAGCCTGTTTGCCCGGCCTCCCTGGCTGTGAGCGTTTAAGACGGAGGGCTGTGCGGGTGGATTTCTCCCGTGCCATTATGTTCTGCCGGCTGCGAGCGCAGGTACCAAGGCCTGCCGGGCCCTGAAAGCTTCTCGGTACTGCAACCCCGCTGCTTTGTAACACGCTCGGGAAGAAAGGGACGCAGCCAGGGGCGGCCTGCATCTTTCTTCCCTCTGCGCGCTCTCTGTTCACACTCCCACGTGCGAGGCGCTGAAGAACAGCACTTCACCGACCGCGGGGCCGCAGGCGAGTGGGGACGGGGAGCCCGATGCTTGGCCAGGGAGGAAGTGGGGAGGGAGGCGGAGGGCAGAGGAGGAAGAGGACGGGGAGAAGAGAGCGCGTCTGGGGGGATGTCGTCTCGCCATGCCCTCCCCGAAGCACCCGCCTGGTGTCCAGGTCCCTGCCTACTTGGGTGACTTTCACACGGACGCCCAATGACCTGCCCTCCACTGCTCCATTTGATGGGTGCTTCCTCCAAGGGAAACTAGGGTGGCGCCGCTGTGCAAGGATGGGCGAGGAGGCTGCCCGCGCAGGGCAGGGAGGAACTGGGATCCAATGGGCTCCTCTGCGTCCTGACGCAGCCCAGGGCAGAGCAGAATGCAGCGCTGGTACTGGCAGCAAGGGACAGTCCTCCTGCCTCCCCTTTCTCCTTGCTATGCTGCGCTAATTAAGCTCCTACTGTGTGGCAGGCTCTGTGGCTTGAGATGCAAGAGACAGGAGACATCTGAAGCCAGACGCAAACACCCTGTCCTGAGCACCGCAGGACACCTGTGCTCCTTCACACATGCACATGCATCCACATATATGCACACATACACACGCACACACCCATGCTCCATCCGGGCTTGTGAACACCACGGCTGCTCCCTGTCTTCTTCCAGGCAGGGCTCTGAGAGCTTGGGGCAGCACAGGGCGGGAGGCAGAACTGGCGCCTTATCGGGGGGCAACGGCAAGACCACAGCTGCCACACGTACCCCGAGGCTCACTCTTGTCACCTCCTCCACAGGCAGCCACCCTCCGGAGCCCCACAGCCTCCTAGCGAAGCAGGCACCTTGCAGCCACTGTACAGGTGAAGAAGCTGAGGCTACGCGACCGGTCTGAGAGGTGGCAGCTGCACACGCCAGCAGCACGGCCTGAACCCGGGGGTGGGTCCTGACTGCGGTTAGTGGCTGGGTGCCCCTGCGCAAGCCGCCTGCCCTCTCTGCGTCACTTTCCTCATCATAAACAGCACGGTGACAGTGTTTCCCCCTAGGACTCCGCAGGGCTCAGATGACGAGAGCTGGAGTGAGGCGGGTGAGGCCGGTCAGAGCTGGCTGGGGTTGTGCTCACCTGGCTTTTCAGGGTCCCGGGCCCACTGTCTCCTCAGTGGCTCCCAGTTCAGCCCTCCCAGGGGCAGGGCAGCCATACTGGCTTCTGTTTACCTGCTCGGCTGCCCTCACTGTCCCCAAGAATGGCTTGCAGGCCGCAGTAACACCGGCAGACTTGCTGCCAGGCCCGCGAAGGTGGAAACGCCGCCTTCCTGCCATGGCCCTGGGGCCACAGGGGTCCTTTATTGTGGCCACTGCTCGGTGGCCTCTGCCTGAGATCTGAGTGCCTTCTTGGCAGAGATCAGGCCAGAGCCAGAGCCGAGGCCGCTGGGCACGGATCCCACTGCCCTTGGCGTCTGCCAGGGCCCAGGGAGCTGCGAACAATGTGGATTTCGACATAAATGAGCTGGGTAGTTTTCACCACAGGGAAAGGGCACTGAGGGAAGAGGCTTGGCCTAGCTGGGAGGGTGGGAGGTCTGTGGTCCGCTCTGCACAGTCCAGGTGTCCTGAGCAGAGGGGGCGCTCTCGGGACACCTGCTCTATCTTGCTATTCCCCCAGCTACCCAGACAGCGGACAGACAGGTTTCAGGCCGATCCTCCCACGCTGTCTGTGGAGCTCAATTTATTGAAGGGGGCTGCTCTCCACCCGGGCAGAAGTGCTGAGTGCGCTCCAGGGAGAGCCCCTTACACAAACATTTGCCGACGGGGCATCTGGGGCTGTCAGTGCTGTCGATACGGACAGGTTCTCTTCCTGTGCATCAGGATTTGGGGACATGTGAGCTGTGGGCTTGCAGCTGTGTACTCAGCCTGTGCTTTGTGGTTTCACGTCTGCCCTGCCCCAACTGCTCCTAGCCGTGTGCGGAGGGCCTGGCATGTACAGCGTCAGAGACTGAGCCGCACACTGAAATGAACGGGTTGCTGGCAGAGAGGAATATCGCGCAGCCCCAACGACAACGTGGCAAGAAGGGAAGGCAGGGCTGCGCCCCAAGGCTTCCCAGAGGCTCTGCTCCTGAGGCCTGGCTTGGGAGGTCAGCCACAGACCCTGGGTGAGGTTCCCGCCACACAGAGAGTGTGAAGGGGACTTGGTGGCAGACAGTCCCCAGGTGACACCTTGGTTGTGCAGAGCAGACCGTGGGCCTCCTGCCCTCCTGGCTGGGTCTCTTCCCTCGGTGCCCCTTCCCTGTGGTGGAAACTTGTTGAAATCCGCAGTGTTCACAGCTCCCTACGGGGACGGGCACGGGCGACAACGGCAGGCATCTGTAATCCCCGAGACGGCCACACAGGCGTAGGCAGTGGTCACTGGGGGCCTCAGCACACAGGTGACCACAGCCCTGTCCCATAGCCTGGCTCTCCCTGTTGGGCAAGCGACTGTCATGAAGCCCCTTTTGCCACCTGGCTGGACCACAGCCAAGGGGTGTCTGAGAGGCTCTGGCTCCCCTCAGTCGCTGAGTGACAAGTGCCAGGGACAGCAAGGAACACCTGCCCACCTTCCCTGAGCCCAGCGTGGCACTGTTCTGGGGTTCACCCCTCCTAGGCAATGCCTGCACACCCTGCTGCAGAAGATGGGGTCGTGGGGCCCACTGCACTGACTGGTGTCACCCGCTCTTCTCTCTGGCTCTCAGCCCTAGCCCCGCAGGCTTCCCGCTCCTCAGACGCACCGAGCTCTTCAGGACCCTTGGCTGGCCCAGCCGGCCCGGGCACCTGATGACGCAGAATCCCCTAGCACCCTCCTCCCCGAGCTGCAGCCAGCTCAGTGGCGGCGGCGTTCCCAGCACAAGGGCAGGGCAGATGCTTAGATCGTCTAGTCACTGAGCGAACAGTCATCAAGGTCACGTGGTGCCACGGCAGTGTGCGAGAGGCAGAGCCAGGCCTGTGGGCCCTGGAGGAGGAGCATGGCCCCAGGACTGGGTAACGAGGGAAGGTGGAGGGGACAGAGCAGCCTGGGTGATAAGGAGCAGACTTTGGGACCTGGACAGAGACTGTGGTACCAACAGGGCAGGGCCAGGAGCTTGAGGCATGGCCCCAGAAACCTGGCAGGAGCAAACGTGGGGCTGAACACCTGCTCTCACGCTCCTGCCTGGGCTCCAGGTGACCCGGCCACCCGCAGTACTGAGTGAGAGGAAGGTACCCAGCTGGGACCAGAACGTGAGACTCTGGGCAGCTCTGCAGGGTGGGGGTCGGGTGCCCGGCCATCGGCCTTTCCTGGTCCCTGAGACCGTTCCCGTGTGCTCCTACCGTGGAAGTGCTCAGCCGTCTTCCGCCGCAGGGCCTGCAGGGTCACCTCGGAGTCCGCCCACTCCAGGACCAGCCTCCGGCCGTACAAGTGGGTGCTGTGACACAGGGCATTGAAGGCTCGCTGGGGGAGACAGGAAACACAGGAGCGGTTAGGAAACACACAGTGGGTACTTTGCTTCCGGGCATCTTGACTTGGGGCCCGGTGCTGGCCCCTGGACACTGGAGCTCCAGCAGGGCTGGGGTGCTGGCAGCTGGATCTACTTAATTAATGAGTTATGTTTCCAGGAGCAGAGCTGCAAATGACAGTGCTGTCGATACAGCCGCCGTCGGGCTGTCACTGGCGCCGGGGCTGGGTGGCCGTCTCATTTCCCATGTTACATCCTATCTGCCGAGGGCGACCCCATTAGCAGGGGCTGCCCCCAACCGGCGGTCAGCAGCCCTGGCCTAGTGAGAAAGCTCAGCTCTGCTGGCCACCAGAGGACAGCCACACAGGCCCTCACTGCCATTCGGTGCCACTCTCCTTCCCAGCCCCGTGGCCTCTGATACAAGACGTCCACCTGCGGCACGAAACTCGGTGGTTACGGTGTATTCTCAGAGCTGTGTGGGGATCTCCACGTCCATTTCACATTTCCTCACCCAGCCTAAGGACACAAGCAGCTTAGCCATCACTCAGAGCCCCCGGCTGCGCCCCCAGTCCGTGGCAGTCACTGAACGCTTTGTCTGGATTTGCCTGCTGGGGGCTCTCTCATGAATGGATCCAGGCAGCACGGACCGGTTCTCCCTCACACGGAGGCACTGCGCAGGGACGCCTTCCCGACCCGACATGAGGGCTCTTCCAGAATCATCTCGGCCACAGAGCTCAGGGGCCCAGAGTTCTTGGACTGCACAGCCAGTCTGCCCTGCAGTTCCAGCAAGATCACCAGCAAGTTACGTCAGTCTTCCTGCCGCTAGAACAGCAACACAACATGTGCCAACCTAAGGGTTGTGGGGACAATAAAAAGTGACACAGCGCCCAGAATGGTGCCTGGCCCAAGGACATGGCAGGTGTACAGCAAGGGCTCATCGGGTGCCGGCTCTCTGCCTTGGCGGCTTCCTGTCTCACACGCAACGTGTACCCCGTCTGTCAGCAGAGTGAGTCCCCAGGCAGGCGCTCGGCTGAACGAGGATGAGGCCCCAGGGGTCTCTGAAGGGCTGAAAGTCACAGGGCCCCAGGGAGCTTCCGCTCTGTCTCTGGGCAGCGACAGTGGCCACAGGACCAGGACAGGAAGGCTGGTTTGTCCCTCTGACTTCTGTAGGATCAAGAGGTGCCATGTAACCAGAGATCCAGGCTAGCCGGAACCAGCCACTCTGCCTTGCCGGTGGCATGCCTGCTATGGCCGGGTTGTATCCCCCAAAGAGGACACATGAGGTCCTCACCCCAGGACCTCAGAATGTGATGAGTATTGGAAACAAGTGGCTGCAGGAGCCACACGGCGGGGTGAAGTCACACTGCGGCAGGGCAGCCTTCGTTCACAGGACTGGTGACTCAAGGGGGCCGCCGTGTGGGGATTGAGGCAGACACGGGAGTGATGACACTGCAAACCAGGAACGCTGAGGACTGCCAGCTACGGCGGGAAGCCAGGAGAGGCATCCTGGGAAGACGACCCCAGGAGGACCCAACCCTGCTGCCCCCTCGCCTTTGAACTTGCAACTGCAGGAACTGCCAGTTGGGACAGTTCTGTTGTTGAAGTCACGTGGTCTGGGGCGCTGTCGCAGCAGGTAACGTGGTGACCTTGGGCAAGTCCTCCTCTGCCAAGGTGCTAAGGGTGAGACTGGCAGCGAGTGCAGGGGCGTGGAACCCAGCATCTCTGCAATAAAACCGGAGGTGCAAGGATGGGAGGAGGAGCAGGAAAACATCTTTGGAACTACCCAGGGCCAGGCCGAAGGGTCGCTTTGCCCTCCCCGTGCTGCTGCAGAAGGGCCAGGTGCAGGGAACTCTTTCTTTCCCTTTTTTAAACTTTCATTTAAAAGCCTCTCTCCCTTCCAGCAGAGGCTCTGCATCTTTTTCCAGGCGGATATAAAGTTGCATCTGGACTCTGCGCTGAAATGGCCCATTCAGAGCTCTGAACACACGGGCTCTCAGCTGGCGAGGCAGGAAACAGTCTGACTGGAGGAGAGGCGCTGGGGAGTGTGGCGAGGCGGGGATTCCATCCCCACACCAGGGTCCCCGAGGAGCTGTGTCCTCGGGGCACAGCAGGTTGGGGCGGCCGGCCGAGAGGCTACATCTAGCGGATGATCAGCCCAAACTTGGAAGAACGGAATGAGACCGGCTCCCTCTGACGTCACCCCTGGCAAATGCCATCACTTCTCTGCAGCTCGCCTGCACTTCATTTGCGTGGAAGAGCGTTCCATGCTCAGAGGTAGGAGAGGATAGCAGCTTGGCAAGCTCTGCACTGGGCTACTTCGGTTCAAATCCCAGTTCCAGCATTTACAAGCTGTGCAAACTTGGGCAACTTGCTTAACGTCTCTGAGCCTCAGCTTCTTCATGTGTAAAAGAGAGGCAGCACCCAAGCATGGGGAGGATTCGGTGAACTGTTTGGTCTCAGGCTGAGCATACGGTATGGTGTCAGCAGCCTCAGAAAATGCTGCCTGTCGTTGTTATTATTATTATTATTATTATTATTTATGCCTCACTTTTCATTAGTAGCCAAAGAGCATGAACAAGGGTAGCTGGGACCCGAACCCTTTCGTGTTTGCAGGTAGAACACACGATGGGGTTCTCCAAAAATAGCAGAATTACTTTTCCTTGTCCCAGTCCCTGCAGGGGAAGAGGATATCGGGCTGCGTTCTCAGGCGCCCACTGCTGCGGTGGCTGGAATGCGGTGGCCGTAAACTGTCACAGGCGGTGTGAGGACAGTGATTCGAAGCTAAAATTGGCTTTGGATAATCCAGAGTAATTGCATTTCATTAAGAAGGCGTAATGAGAGCTTGCTGTATTTGAGACTTCCTAGGGGACAGGGGAGGGGGTGAAGAGCAGGAAGACACAGTCCTGACCTGAGGCTTTCGGCTGGGGCAGGGGGCGAAGGCTTGGGCCCAGCAGAGGGACGAGCACAGATGCTCGGCCTGCAGCTTCCTCTCTCTCTGCGTGTGACCCCAAGGACACCACCTCTTGTGTTCCCCAGAGCTTTCAGAGTTCAGCTCCAGGCAGCGCCCAGCCTCTCCCCAAAGAGCCCCAGGCCCTGTGCCCCTGGGGGAGTTCCATGTTCCCAGGCCTCTGGGCTTCCTTTCTGGGAATTACAGGCCTTCCTGGCATGCACCGTGGCTTAGGGTTCACAGAGTCCCAGCACAGGACTCCACTGCTTCGCAAGAGCGAGCACCATGCTCCCGTTCCAATGCGGGGAAAGCAGGCACCAGCTGTGGTGCGTACGCAGGCCGTTCTTTCCTTCTCCTTGCCTTCGGATGGCTCATCTCCGGCAGGCCCAGGAAGGGTCTTGCTGGCAGCTGTGGGAGGCTCTGTCCTTCTCACAGGCTGCAGCCAGGGGTGCTCCTGGCACACTACAGCTCTTGTGCCTGCCTCTGCCCCGCAACGCTGACTTGTGCCAGTCTCCCCGGTGAGGGGCCGGTCAGGGTGGCTTGGCTTAGCTGTCCCGCCACAGCTCCCATCTGGCCCTGCTGGGAGCCCATAGAGTGCTCGAGGATGGGCATGACTCAGCGGAGGGCACAGGCCAGGGCCACCTAGCCTTCGGTCTCAGCAAATCTGCTGCACCGTCTTGCACTGGCCCTATGCACCAGACGAATCATGTGGGACCTCATAGGATGGCCCAGGACCCACGCTGCCAGCTCCCAGAGACCGCATATCAAGCCCCCTGCTGGCCTGCTAGGGAAGCACGCCTACCATCCAGAAGCAACAGAACACCCAAGAGAGGCCTGCTGGCCCTGGAGCCTCTTCCTGCCAGGTACTGACGGTCGATCTCTGTCACCCCATTTTCTAAGCTTGGGAGCTGATGCCCGTGCCTGAGGCCAGGGCTCCTTGTGCTTTCTACCCAGAGGCTTTTTTTTGGTCTTTTTGAGACAGGGACTCTCAAGGCAGTTCAGGCTGGCCTTGAGCTCATTTTGTAGCCCGGGCTGGACCCAAACTCGCAGCAATCCTCCTGCCTCAGCCTCCCGTGTTGGAATTACAGAACAGGAGGCAGTGGTACAGATGCAGGGAGGAGAGATGGGGATTCCTCCCTGTGACCCCTCAGCCTAACGGAGATAACATTTCCCCCTTGTCACTGGTCTCTGGTGAGTTCTCCAGCCCTATTTACTGCTCCACAAATCTATTCCTTTGAAAGACCAGGGACACTCACTCCAGTGGTGTCTCAGTCCCTCTGCCCTGAGGGGGATACGGATGGGTTCCCCGCCTCAGGCAGCACATCTGGAGCCAGAACCCTGCTCTGTGAACTGGGGGCACCTGCGAGTATGTGGAGCAGCTCGCACTAGGCTCCAGGGCTGTCCCACTGTCTGGTCTCCGACCTGGCTGTGCAGACACCCTGGCTTGCTTATTTTCTCTGACGTGAGCCATGGACCACAGGTCTGGGGAGCCCTGGCCTGGCGCCGCCTGGTCCGGATTCCCTAGAAGGAGGTCTTGTGAGTGGTGTGAAGATGACAGCGCAGGCTGGACTATAGCTGGGCCTGGTGGCCATCTTTCAAGGCCAGGGGGGCACTGGAAGGCTGCCAGCGTGGTGCCGGGCTGACCTTTCTGCAACTCCCTGGAGACAGCAGCTTTGTCCCAGCAACAAAAGCCACTCTGTGCCCTTGGCAGTGCTCCTGGCCCCAGGGATTTCGACGAGTTGCTGGGGGCCACGCCTGCTAGGCATGGCCAAGGATGGGCACTCTGGTCCCCTCCCGCTCCTTGGGGAGCTGCCCAGTATGTAGGAGCTGCATCTCTGGCAGACGCTGAACACATCTGAGCACGGGGAGGTCGATGTGCCCTGACTATACATCCCCTTGGAGCGCGGGTCAGTGGGTTCTAAGCCGGCCAAGAATGTCCACATGCTCAGGAGCAGGGCCACTGAACAGGGGCACAGGGGACCTGGGTCCCGCCAGTACTGCCGGGCCTGGATCGTTTTCCTTTCCCAGAGGCTGGTGACTTCCGGAGGG